TATACCACGGAGGATGGAGCAAGAGCTCTCCTGGAAGTGCTGGAGATGACCTGGCCCTTTGAGTTGGGCCTTAAAAGATGCGAAGGACTTTGCCAAGCAAATAAGGAGTAGGCTTCTAGGTAAAAAGGCAGAATTAACATGTCATCTACTCTCACGCTCTCCTAAAACACGCTCAAGCCACGTTCAGAAGATTTTTAATCAAAATATATAAAACTACAAGGACAGGGGGGACAAGCAAAGAGAGCAACAGAAGCAACAAAAATTTGAAAGTTGGAAAACAGATGGACAAGTGGAGACTCTTGGCAGACCCAAGACAGCTAAACCCTAACCTAGCAGTGGAAAAAACTGAGAACTACGCTTTTCACACCAGAAAACCCCCAAAGGGCATAAGAACTGGCAACCAGGGACCTCTGGAACTGGTGGTAAAGAAGAAGGAGGAAAGGTTAAAAGGTGCTTAAAAATCAGATCTCTGGAATCCTTCATCTACTCTATACCACTGGATGTCTGCTCCTTCCCCACCACAGCCAAAGGTGAGGTTTATTATCTGGAAATGTAAAACTCTGCCCTGAGGCTAAGCCAGCATAGTTTAGGGCATGACTATTCTATGAAAAACAGAAAAATGTAATAACGATATATTATAAAATAAATGCTTTATGCTAAGAGCCCACCAAACCCTCTACTCTGCATAACTCCCAGGAAACCTTTCATGAGGAAATCTACCTAGTCTAAGAAGAAGGAACTAAAGAAACTTACTTTGCAGTTCCCAACAGCAGCTACCCAGGTCACCCTACAGTGAAGATCCAAGTTTTCAGACCCCTCCTACTGGCTCAGAATTTCCAATCAGCTTTTTATTCTCCCACTCTTAATCATTATTTGACAGCCAAAGATTCCTAGATATCTGAGGAAAACCTATAATAGAAGATTAAGGACAAAATTAAATTAAACACACAACAAAAATAAAAGCTAGTTGTAAGAAACACAAACTATGCAGGGAGAAGGAAGCTTTTAGAAAATTAAACATTAGGGCCGAGCCCGTGGCGCACTAGGGAGAGTGCGGCGCTGGGAGCGCAGCAGCGCTCCCGCCGCGGGTTCGGATCCTATATAGGGATGACCGGTGCAGTCACAGAGCTCGCTGGCTGAGCGCGGTGCGGCCGGTCTCAAAAAGGACCCGTTGCGCGCTTGGGAGAGTGCGGCGCTGGGAGCGCAGCAGCGCTCCCGCCGCGGGTTCGGATCCTATATAGGGATGACCGGTGCAGTCACAGAGCTCGCTGGCTGAGCGCGGTGCGGCCGGTCTCAAAAAGGACAAAAAAAAAGAAAGAAAAGAAAATTAAACATTAGTAGTCTCAAAGAGCTAAGAGAAGATACTACATTCATGAAAAGAACAGGATGCTATAGAAAAAGACAAAAAGAGCTCTTGGAAGAGTTGAAAGAGACAACTGAGGAAATCTCCCAGGAAGTAGAGCAAAAAGACAAATAAATGAAAGGAGAAGAAAGGATAAGAAAATAAGAGAACAAGTCCAGGGGAACAGACATCCAAACAGGAGTTCAGAAAGTAAGAACAGAGAAAACAAGAGGAAGAAATCAACATTGAAATAATCTGAAATTTCCCAGAACTAAAGGCTCTCAGTTTCCTACTGAAAGCATCCAAGCACGCCCCAAGACGAAGACACCCATATCAAAACACATCATTATGGGGCCGGCCCGGTGGCACACTGGAGAGTGCACCGCTTGGGAGTGTGGTGGCGCTCCCGCCGAGGGTTCGGATCCCATGTGGAGACCGGTTCCTGCTCACTGGCTGAGTGCGGTGCGGGCGCAACACCGAGGGTTGCGATCCCGTTACCGGTCAGTAAAAAAGACAAAAAAAGACAAAAAAAAAAAAAAAAAAAACCACACATCATTATGAAATATCAGAACACTCTTACAAACTTCGAGAGAGAAAAAATGGTCACATGCAAAGAATTAGGATCAAACTGTCTTCCCACTCTGAACAGCAACATTGGAAGCAAGGATACAGGGGAGGAATGTCTTTAAAATTCTGAAGAAAAATTATTTTCAACTTAGAATTCTATATCCAGCCAAAACCTCTATCAAGAGTAATGTAGAAAAAAGACATTTTCAGACACAAAGAGTCCAACATTTACTTCCTGTGTACTCTCTCTAGGGAGCTACCAAAACAAGAATGCAAGTCAAGAAAGAAAAAAATGTGGAATACAAAAAGCAGAAAATCCATCACAGGAGAGAGATAAAGAGAATCTACAGGATGACAGTGAAGAGAGATCTGGTTCTGCACACCAGATCCAGAGAGAAACTAAGTCATATTGGAGTGGAGTGACCCAAAGGAGAGCTAGGTCCAGAGCTTGCCATCACAATGCCCACTGCAGCGTACCATCCTCAGGACCTGAAAGCAGTCTTTCAATAAAGCCTGGGAATAAACCAAGAAAGAGGAAAACATGAGATCCAGAAAGCTGAACTGAACCCAGGAGAAAGTCAAAGGGAGGACCAAGGACAGCTGTGTATCAGGCCTAAAAGGCTACCAGTTCAAATAAAAGAATGGAGATCTCCAAGAGGGATGTCTCCAAGGAAAGTAATTGACAGATTACTGATGGCACTGACCTCATAGAACATTGCATTAAGAGGTTACTAGAAAATATAAGAAAAACTAGCAAGTTCCAGGGTTCAAATTAGCAATAGATATCAAAAAAATAAACTAAATAAGTTTAAAAATTAAGGAAAGTACTAACCTTGGGAAAAACAGAAGAAATATAATCAAGTATACTACAATGTTCAGTTATGAAAAATATTGCATAGGTATTATAGGGTAAACAGTGAATGCTGATTTAAGAGAAAATTATGACTATATGAGAAGATAAGTGAAGAGAAACAGAGAAAATGATGATTTAAAGAGCTAATTCCTTACCTACCATAACAGGAAGACAATAGAGAACATCTAAAATTGAAGACTCAAAAGTCAAAGGCATTCATATATTATTCAGCATTATGGAAATGTATACATGCCAGAAGAAATAGCTAAAAGCTGAAAACCATATGTGCACATATTAATTGGATAAAATAAAATTTAATTTTCTTTAAAAAGAATGATTAAGGACTTTCTAAATAGAGAAAATAGCATATGCAAAAGCATGGAATTGTGAAAGAACTGGGTTTTTTTTAGGAAACTGTTAGTGCCTGCTGTAGACTGGAGACCCCCCCCCCCAACCTAACTGAGGCTTAATTCCCACTGTAACTGCTGAAGGTAGGAGATCCTATTATAGTAATTGAAAGATGGGGCCTGGAAGAGGTGATTGGATTGTAGTGAATGGCTTAATAATGGTGGTCATGGGCGTAGTCCTGAGCGCTTTAAAAGGAAAGCACATAAGAAGCTATCTCTCTCTCTGTTCTGCCATTTTCTGCCATGTGAGACCCCTGTATTGCTGTACAGCCACCACTAAAGAAGACCCTCACCAGACATGTTCCCCGGACTTTGGACTTCCTAGCCTCTGAAACTGTAAGCAATAAATTTCGTTTTATTATAAATTACCCATTTCTAAGTATTTTGTTTTAAGCAACAGAGCTAAGACAGTGCCACAGTGACACAGGGTAGGCAAGCAGTATCAGGTGTTGCAGAGAGTAAAAGAAGTATCTCCTGCTCACCAGTTTGGTGGACTTTGGCAAGTCCCCTAGCCTCTTCCAGTTTCCTCTTCTGTAAAATTTGACTAATAATAGCACTTACTTCACAGGGTTTTGTAAGAATCCGACGACAATGGAAACAGTAGAAAGTTGCCAGATGCATCGTGCTGTACTAAGGTAAGCCATGCAGAGTCTCAGTGTTCCCTGGAGCAGAGAGTGTTCTCAGCCTGGAGCTCAGAGGGTTCTGGGTAAGGGTGAGCACTGCCCATGGGAACCCAATTCCAGAGAAACTGTTTATCTGGCTGAGGTAGACGAGTCCCCCAAAATCAGGGAATGTCACTGCTGGAAACCACCAATGCCTTGATTTACCCCAAAAAATGGGCTCTCACAGGGAGACCAGACCTAGGACCCTTGAACTGGTGGCTGCACAGATGGGAGGGGTGGGTGCACATTGGTGGGTCCTGCAGTCCCTGAGGCAGCTCAGGTTTGTGCAATGGGAGGCTCTGCTGGGTAGTGTGGGGGATGGGGGCAATGTCTGGAGCCAGCTTCCCAGCATCCTACCTCTTCTCTTCCCCTTCCAAGGAGCATCACTCTACTTCCTATTCTGCCAGGCAGCTGCTTCAAATTCTACCTTGGAGCTCAGTAAAATTCAAATAATAGTAGTCTTAATTTCTAACACTTATATGGTACTTAACGTATGCCAGGTACTATTCCAAATGCTTTGCATGTATTCACTCATTCAATCGCACAATAACCCTCTGAAGCTCATACTGTTATTATCCCCACTTCACAGATGAGGCAGCTGACCTGCTCAGCTCAGTATCTATAACTGGAAAGGGGATGAGCCAGGGTTCTAAGCCAGGCAGTCAACTTCCAGGGTCTGCAGTCAGAATCACTACATGTCACTACCTCTCTAGTGTGAGACTTCCAAGCCTCAAACTACTCAAGTGTAAAACGGGGACATTAGGAGAGATAGCTTTAAAGATCTCTTTCATTGTGAGAACTTTCTTTTTCTAGATCAAGATCTGAACCCTTGACCTTGGTGTTATCAGCACCACGCTCTTTCTAGTGAGCTAACCAGCCAGCCTGACTACTTCTTTCTGTGGAACTAAGATTCATCAGTCATGTATGCCTGAGGGTGAGGAATCCTTACTGAGGACAGGTTTTGAAGGAGAAGAGCAGACTCCAGAATGAGAAGATAAGGGGACACCAGCCTACATAGGGAGATTAAACTGGAGCAAAAGCTAAGAAAGCAATGACAACTCACACAGTTCTGTGCACACCACCCACTGCCCCATACCTGTCCCCACGGCTCCCTTGGGCCCTGCTCTGTGCAGAGGCCCTGGCATGGAGCATAAAGACAGCCTCATTACCTGTGACGATGCAGGTGAACCTGACGTCGCTGTCCTCGGACACAGCCCGGGACTTCAGCGTGGTCTCAAATAGTGGCTGGGTCTCCTCTGTTAGCTGAGCAATGATGGAGCAGAAGGTGCTCCTAGGAAAGGCAAAAAGCTATTCAGAGCAGCCCTCCCCACAAAATATACCACAGTCTGGCCTTGTCCAAGGCGGCTTAAATCTTACCATGTCATCCCGTCATCCCATGGCCATAGCTTCAACACCTGGGCAAGTCTTTCTTCGAGGGAGCCTGGGCCTCCTGGCCAGGTTGGGGGCAGCAATGGTACCAAGGGGCTGAGTAGAATCCTGACCCAGACCCACCACACTAGGCAGGCTCCTGAGCATGACAGACTACAATCCCAGGTGCCCCATCCCATCCTTACTGGGGGACCTTGCTTCACCCTCCACCTTTCATCCTCAGGGAAGCCAATGCATGGGGGAGACACGCATATGGATAGGTCAAGCCTCAGAGATGGAGCCCCTAGCATAGCAGAACCTTCATTCATGCCAAAGAGGGAAAAGCCAGCCAACCTTCAAGGATTCATAGGTCCTAAGAGCTCAGGAGCTTCTCCTCGAGCTTGGGCTCAGAAGAAAGTCTCCTACGTTTATGAGCACAGATTCATAGTGCACAAAGAATAAGCTGGCCAATGCCAGGGGTCTAGACCCAAAGATGGACTCTAATTCCTAGGGATGTTAGAAAAGGGAGACCCAAATGAACTCTGATCCCAAACAGGGCTATGGACCAGAACTGGAAAGTCAGCTGTGGCTCCCCTGCTCCATCCCTGGATACCACATGCTGAAGTGAAAACATGGCTGGCAGCTCCAGGACCAACCAGCAGGATTGCCAAACCACAGATTCACCCTGCAAAAGCCAGAACTTTTAGTTCCCATGTGACAGTCCATCTCCCAGAATTCAGGAGCATCTGTAGGCTTTCTGAGTCCAGCACAAACTTACCAACAATGCTCAGGGCTTACAGTACGCTCCTTCCTGGGCACGGGAAGCAAACAACTGTGCCAAACCCTTTCATGGGCCAGCAGAGACACAGTGTCTCCCTAGGCGTGAAGCGCAACCACACAGCCAGGTTGTGTGGTGCACAAGCCATGCCCAGCCCCCTCCCCCCCAGGGACGCACCCTATTGTGAGCAGCAGGGAGGACCGTGAGTGGGTTGAGTAAAGAGCAGCAGGAGGAACTATGGCAAGAAAGATGAATCATTCAAAGGCGCCTTTCTCTGTGCCTCAGAGGAAGGGGCAGTCACTCAAGGGCAATGTTTGTCTGTCCATGACCTCTCCACCAGGGGTTGAGTAAGAGTTTGTGGGAACACAAGCAAACAGGATCTATAACACTACACATTTTGCAGGGAGGCGTTCCATGTTCAATGTATCTTTTCTGTGAACTTGTGTTTGAGGAGAGGTTGCATCCCAGGAAGAGTGTCTGGAATCAAGTAAGACTTCTGGACTGATAAGGGTCCAGCCATGGTTTCTACACAGGAATGAAGATGCCTGTGTATACAGTTAGTTGACAGGAGCCTTCAAAGACTACCCAGAAAGGGGACCTCTTAGTCACCTAAACACTTGAGCGGGTCTGCAGTTAGACGTGTTCTATAACACTCCCTGCAACTCTCTCATCTAGAACTCATCTATCTAATAAACTTCTTTTCCTTTCCCTCTTAAGCCACTCAGAAATAGAAGGTCCTTCAGGACCTAGGCTATCAACTCCCTGAACACTCAGGAAATATAACATCTGAAAGCTTTTCTTGCTGCTCTCATATTAACAGCAATTTCTGACTTTGGGGAAATACCAAATCTCAACCAACAGTTTCTAGAAACTGCCAGGCCAAATGTAATCCTACTTCTATGATTCTGTGATTAATACAAAACATCCCTAATTATGGTCTCCCTACATAATTTGAATCCTACCTCATCCGTGAACATGAGCCTAGATCCAATATTCAGCTTAGGCTCTTAGGTATGAAGCTTCTTGGGCAAATCTAAGAAAATCATTTCGGCTACTGGATAAGTAAGAAAACACGTATACTATGCTTCAAGAAAATTTGCAGAGACAAGTGCTCATGCTAGATTTTCAACAACAGGTAGTTATCTTATTTCATTACTCTTTTTGAATGGAAAATAACAAATCTTCTCAAACTTTCCACACTAGGTCCTAAGCTATATTATAAAAAAGGTTTACATTGGAAAACCATAAGTAACTGCTGAAAGGGATGGCTAGATGAAAGCTCTCCCTTCAAAGGAAGTGGGTTTGGAATGCATTTGTGGGCATGAGAAGAGTCACTGTACATGCTGTCATGTTCCACTGAATGTCACACAGCTTCTCATTGCCACAAGCTTTCTGTCCCCATCCTCAAAACCATTCAGATGTGGGATGGACTCTGAATGTGCTGCATCCAGCTCCCTAGAAAGCCAGGAAGTCCACACATTTGGAAATGGTCATGTCCAACCCTAATACCTCCAAGCCCTTCCAACTCCATGACTTCATAAGGATATCACAGGCTAATCATGTGTCTCTAAAGAACAGCAGAATCTTTGGTTTTCATGATGTTTAAGGGAACCTATCCTTGCCCTTAGGTTTGGTTGTTTACATTGCTTTGAATAAACCCCAGGTCCTCTCTCTTCCAGCACTTACCACGCTCCACTTTAAATTAGTTCTGATATCCTCACTTCCACCCATGAGATACCCAGAATAGTCTCCTCAGTGTTCATCCCCATCAAGAACCATGTACATGGTAGGTTCTAATCATGTCTGTAGAAATTAGTAGCTATTCAGAAACTAGTTAAGTATTCAGAAATCTTTCTCTGTGTAAAGAAACTGTAGCCAACTCTCCCCAAATCTTTCAGAGTCTGGGATGAGGCCCAAGTGATGGGAAGTAGCCAGGAAACATCCCCACTTTGATCATCACAGTCAGTGCAGCCAGCAATAGAGAGCTGTCACCAGCTTGGGAGGCAAGAGGACAGTCATTCAACTGGCAAACTTTGACCATGGGCCTGCTCAGGCCCTGCCTTGGCTCTGCAGCAGATTCAGAGAATACGTTAATGCAGGAATACGCTGACATGGTATTCCCTGATCCCACAGAGTTCACAATCTGCAGGGGTGGAGTGAAGCCAAAGGAAAGGAAAATTCAGAGTAAGAGGAGGTAAAAGGAGAACTTAAGGGACACCAGGAAAAAATTTTAAAGGTAGTGGCCATGGTTAGAAGGCAGACAATAAGGTATCAAATCTAAACATGTGGTTACAAAAAAACATGAAAACCTAAGCTGGCAAAGAGGTGGATCATGTGACTGGTGGCTCTCTGTTCTGTTCCCATGGTGTCTCTCCCAGGGACATAGAGATGTCATTGCAGGCATCTCAGGGACCCTTGCCCACATTTCTATTCCTGAGTCCCTGTGCCCCTTCAAATGGCCCATGCAAGCATCAACTCTGGCCCCTGTGAGACCCGTGCTCACGTGAGTACCCTCTCATACCCTCCGCACCCACCCTCCAGCCCTCCCCTAACCCCATGCAGCCTGGTTAGTGCATGAGCAGTCACTCAGTGGCCCCTGAATGCCCAGACCCAAGAAAAAAGCAGTCAGAGAAATGTAATGCAATGTGCATTTACCTTCCAGAGCTGGGGTGAGACAACCGGTTGCTTGATAAGCTAAGCAAAAACAGCAAATGGAATCATTAGGCCAAAAAAGCAAGGATAGGAAGAGGCGAAATCAACAACAGTCGCAGAAGTATTAATCGGTCACCATCTGGGGCCCAGAGGCCTTTCTATTAAAAGGGACCAGCTGTCTTAGTTGGCCTGTTCCAGTTAGCAAGTGGCCTCACCACCGGATACCAATGTATCTGAAACCAAGAGCTTGTTAAATGCAGCAGAGTCCAGGAAAATGGTTAGGCAGGAAGGAAGCCCTATGGGGCTGTGCTTTAAGAAGGTGTGTCCCAGGTACTTGGGTCACTGCCCCTCAGAGGGGGGCATATAGCTGCCTGGCATGTTTCCCAACCCCACAGTACTGCCCCAGCTTGGGGACAGCTCTCCTGCTTAAACCCTCCACCTTTTGGGAGAGAAGAGGCCCCATTCCTGGAAATCCCCTGACAGGCTGGGAAGGAGACAGGTGGCCTGGAGAACACCCACCATTAATATGTTAAAGTACAGTTAAAGAGGCCACACGAGGCAAATCAGCTGAGAGAGTGAAGAAGAGGAGAAAAACAAAGCGGTTAATTCAGCAGGAGCCAGGAGGCACCCAGCTCTGTCAGACCAGCACAAGGCCCCTTCTACCTGGAGTCCCTGATCATCCCTCCTGCCTGGGGCAGCTGAGAACAGACACTAACCAAGGTCTGTATAGGCCACTGGAGGGTGAGGACCCACACAAGACTGCCCCTCAGTGGAACTTCAGCCCACTTGGTATGAGCCAACTTTTACCTCTCCCTCTACCTTTCCTAACATAATCTCCAGTGGGACTCTAGATCCCAGCTCTTTGGGAGATCTCAGGGGCCACCCCATCCATACTCACTCCCTTCAGCTTTTCCTACTGTGAGAAAAGCTCTCCCCATCGTATCAGCAGCCCAACCTGTGCAATGGCACTTATGGTTTACATCTCTCATCACAAAAACCCTCATTAAGATCCCATCTTTTTATAACCACAAAACAAAACTCATCCTCTTCCCCCAAAACCTAGCTTCCTATCCAATGCTTCTGGGTTGTGGATACCACCAGCATTTTCTCAAACTCCTAAGCTCAAAATCTGCCATCTTGGACTCTTCCCTCTCCTCTACCCCCCAAATCCAGACAGTCAACAATTTTTGGCCCTTCTTTCTCCGTACTCCTGCTGTTGTGCTCTGATCTAGACCTTCATGGCTCCATATTTGATGACCACCTCAACCCCCTTCTCTTTAACCCCTCATATCACACCACTTCTCTGAACAAAATGCTGCAGGCCCCCACTGCGATTATATCAAGTCTCGACCCCTTGACTGGGCCTTTAAGACCCTGCCTGATCTGCTCACACCCCCACTACAACCATAGTTCTACTTCTCAACACTCAGGTTCCACTGCAGCCAGACCTGTCCCTAACTGGCATGGATGCGTCCATTCCTAGGTCTGAGCCTTCACTTTTGTCCTCCCTGCTTGGAAAGTCCTTCCTCCTTCCTTCTGCTCAACTAAATCCTGCCCACTCAGCCTTCAACCTAGCTCTTTTTGTAGCTTCTGTGGCCCCTAGCAAAGTGCTAGGCATACAATGGGTATTCAACCACTGCTCTATGAAAGGGAGAGAGAGAAAGGGAGAAAAAGAAAAGGAGAGAAGAGAGGGAGAGAGAAAGAAAGAAGTGGAGGAGGGGGAAGAGGGAGAGGGGGAGGGAAGATGAGGAAATGCATTCTTCAAACAGGAAAGAAGGGTCCTGCCCCCCAGACAGAACTGCTGCTCCAGAAAAGAAGGGATTAAGCATGTAGCTGCCTTTGCTCAGAGTTTTAAAAATCCTCTGGAGGCTCTGTGGGCAGAATTTCCCATGGTTCCAAGACATGGCCAACTTCATCCATTCCTGACCGTAAACTTCCTCTGTCTCTCTCAGAATTAAAAGAGTTCTTCTTTCAGTCTAAATTTCTTCCCTGGGAAGGAGAGGGGGAGAGTCAGCTTTCTAATTCAGACGAAAATGACAGGATCCACAGGTCCCACCTAACACGTGGGCGTGGGCGAGAGACCGCTGGGTTAGTGGCTCCTCCCCCAGCTCCCTCTCCGGGCCTGTTTACAATGCTCTGCTCTCTGTCCCCATTGTCCTGTTTTCTCTGGATCTCACTCTTACATGTTTATCTGGTCAGGAGGAATCCTGGGACGGAGGCACCTTGTTTTCAGAAGGCAGAAGGCCTGTGCCCTGCTTACTGGGCCCATGGTAGGCTCAGGACTCTCAAGCCAGGGGAGCTCCCCATTCGCTGACTCTGAGGGGGTCAGAATCAGAGGCATCAAATGTTGGGGCAGAAAGGCTTTAAAGAGTTCTTCATTCCACTTTCAATTTAGAGATTGAGAATTCAGAGAATTCATAAAGGAGAGAAGTAGGCCTGAAGAGAAACCAGGACTGGCCATAGAAGCTGGGGACCTCCCATCCTTCCTAACTTTCATCTATTTGGGTCATAAAAGGCCCTTGGAAAGACCTGGCTTGATAATTCAGTTTCCCTAAAAGCCCTAGACAGCCTGCCTGACCCAAGCAGAACAGCAGAGGTTGTTTCAAAGCTACCTGTAGCAACATCATAGGTTCTGCTGCTCCTCTGAGCCCTGGACCTGGACCAGGGTCTCCAAGAAATGAGGGGGCAGGGATTTCTGGAACATCAGAGTGTCCTGCAAAAGCTAGTTAGTCATAACTGCTTCCACCCAACTGTGGTACCTTAACTTACTCTAGCCTACCCACACCCCACCTTCCTATAGAGGTGAAGTTCTAGAGGCTGGATGACATAAAGGGGTTGGCCTACAGTTTGGTGAGAGTATCTACATGTTGGGTCTCTGACCCCAGTAAGCATTGAAAACATCCTTGAACTGATGTTGGACTGAAAACCCCTCCCGGGCTGTGGGGCAAGGAAAGGTGAGGTGTGCTTGGGGAGATAAGTCCCGGACCCCAGACCAAGGCCTCTGGTGCCTGGCCACCAGCCCAGCTGACCTTTAGCTTCCAGGGCAACCCATCCTCACAATAGCCCATGAGAATGATGCCTCAAGAGCTCCATGACAGATTTTATAATGGCAGACCCAAGATGGAACTTGCCTCTTGGTCAGGACTCTGGGACAGTCAGGACTCAGCTGGGCTGGAGCCAAACACAGCTGGTAAAGTCCTCAAGCAACCCCCTTTCTCCCTTGTCTCTTGGACCTTCTCCCCATGCCCACAGGCAGCCAGGCTGTTCTGAAGGACAGCAGACATATGGTTGCCTCTTCCAACCCAAGTCAGGCCTTCTTACAGAACTGGGAACTGCCCCTCATCCTTCACTCCCCAATGCAGCCTCATTTATACTTTCCCCTCTTTGGCTGAAGGCTTTTTTCCCAGAGGTCAGAGAAATCTGGCTCTCCTTGTCCCTCAGAACTTGTGGGGGTCTGTGGCCTGCTGGCAGGAGCAGTGAAAAACTGCAGGGGCAAAACACAGCCCAAAGTCCAAGGCTAGAAAACCATATCTCCCACTGCCCCTGTCTTGCCTCCTCCAAATATTTGAAAAGAGACTTCTTTTAAGAGCATTGATGTTTAGGTCCAAGGGGACGCAAGCCAGCCACTTCTATCCCACCTCTAGCTCTCAGGCTTGCACACTGCTTTGTGCTCATCAGTTGTGCAATTAAAATTAACCTACCACACACCTGCTCAGCCAGGCAGGAGCACTGTGTCCACCAGCCTTTTTCCTAACAGGCCAGATCCCTTACCCTCCCCATTCTGCCTGGTTTTCAAGCCACCCTTCCTCCCCTTCCTCCACTGCTGCTGTCTCCAAGAAGGACCCTGCTTCCACCTCTTCTACTTGTTCCACTGTAATTAACAAAGGCCAGACACAGGAGGCAAAGCCTGGACACGTCATGGAGACCAGCGTGAGACAAATGTGAGGCTCCCACAAGGGACTCATCTTCACTAAGGACTGGGAAAAATATCCAAATTTCATTCCAGTTTTTTCATAGAGCTGGTACTTAGGAGGAAGGGGCACGCTCTCCTGGCAGCCAGGGGCCTTGTCCAGTCTGACTCAGTCACTAACACCAGTCCTCAGCCCTGCCCCAGACATGTGACACCATTTGACAAGTTTTATGCAGAAACCGGTTCCGGTTACATTTGAACTTTTCCAACTCCAAGGTCAACAGGACTCAGCCAATTCATGAGGAAGTGCCCAGGACTTTTCCTGAATGTCCTTGATGGCTGTTTTGGGAAGGGAGAACAAGAGGTTTCTAAACAGTGTCTCAGAAGAGTGGCTGTTTTCTGCATAATCTATAACAAGCCAAATTCTGGGGCTATGAAACAACCACTATCCCAATAGCCAGTCACATTTCCCTTTGGAAAATAGGCTCCAGAGGTGGAGGGAAACTGAGCTGCCCAGAGGGGGCAGGAAGTGTCTTTCTCCATGGCGATGCTCCTGTCCACATGTGTACCTTTGAGTGACTTTGTGCTTCTCCATTGTCTGTGTCTTTGTATCTGCGGGTAGCCTAGCTCCTAAAACAAAGCATCCACACCTCCTTTAACTCTTGGAAAACCAACGAAGGGCTCATCAGTTCCACCCCTCCCTTGGCATTTCACTCTCCCAAACTGGGCAGGCCAGTTGGCTCCCTTAGAGCTACAAGCCTTCATGCCTGACATCCGCAGGGCCAACCAGCACCTCACCCCACCGCTTCATCTCACTAGCTCCCCCAAAGATCCTGGAGAGGACCAAAGTCGGGGACCCAGAGGAGGCACCTTACTGACACAGGTTTATTTCTTCCTGGCGAAACTCCCCCACCCTGAGTACGCAGCCCCCACTCAGGGCGGTCTCCCTGTTGCCCCCTCCCCCGTCCCCTCTCCCTTCTTGTCCCCAAGAGCTGTCCCCCTCCCTCCCAGCCCGGGAGGAATTTCAGCCACTCTGGCTCCCCTTATCGCCAACTGTGGAATCCAGTCCAGAGAGTAGCAGGGTACGGGGCGGGGGAGATAGGGAAGCCTTCGGGCCCCTGGGCGATCACCCCAAAGTAGGGCCTTTCTTCTTTCCTCGGCCTCATTGTCCGAGGCCTGAGGCCCACGGGCCACGAGGGGTCAGCCGAGCCCTGAGGGGCCATGAGGGCCACTGCAGCCTGGCCAGGTCCCCCGGCCTTGGGCCTTCGCGCTGAGAGAGTTCGGGGGCCGCAGGCCCCCCTGAGGTGAGGGCCTCCCCGGTGGCCGGGCCGTCGTCCCAGGCCTCCCGCGGCCGGGACCCCCCTGAGGTGAGGGCCTCCCCGGTGGCCGGGCCGTCGTCCCAGGCCTCCCGCGGCCGGGACCCCCCTGAGGTGAGGGCCTCCCCGGTGGCCGGGCCGTCGTCCCAGGCCTCCCGCGGCCGGGACCCCCCTGAGGTGAGGGCCTCCCCGGTGGCCGGGCCGTCGTCCCAGGCCTCCCGCGGCCGGGACCCCCCTGAGGTGAGGGCCTCCCCGGTGGCCGGGCCGTCGTCCCAGGCCTCCCGCGGCCGGGACCCCCCTGAGGTGAGGGCCTCCCCGGTGGCCGGGCCGTCGTCCCAGGCCTCCCGCGGCCGGGACCCCCCTGAGGTGAGGGCCTCCCCGGTGGCCGGGCCGTCGTCCCAGGCCTCCCGCGGCCGGGACCCCCCTGAGGTGAGGGCCTCCCCGGTGGCCGGGCCGTCGTCCCAGGCCTCCCGCGGCCGGGACCCCCCTGAGGTGAGGGCCTCCCCGGTGGCCGGACGTTGGGTC